ATGAGAGAGGGTGAGCACAAGAGGGGAGAGAGATGAGAGAGGGTGAGCACAAGAAGGGAGAGAGATGAGAGAGGGTGAGCACGATAGGAGATATTGTGAAATAATATCCTATTGTGTTTACAAACCATATTTTATTTCTCATTACACAGACAGCATACTAAATGTAGTATATTGTACTGTTTATTAGACCAGTTTGAATGTGTCCTGTGCACCGTTCTTTCTATGAAACAGCACTTTTAATTTGTGCTTGAAGTCTGTTTGTGTCCTTTCAGTACCCTGTGCTTTATTTAAAACTTTTATACAATGAACAAATTCAAAGAATTAAGTTCTAAAAGAATTTGCAAACATAAGCATTTCAAAAAAATTGATGTGATTATCTGGCCCTTTTGAAAATCTGGCAGGTCCTTCCCATCTAATCGATGATCTGCTGTACAAGTTTTTTCATCCAGGAGGATCCCACAGCCCAACAAAAGCAGGGAGATTAACTTCAAGCCCTTTCTTACTACAGAGGAGAGTCTTCCTAGTGCGAGAGAGGCTGTGCTGGAGTCTAGCCATGATGCCGCGGGTTCTCCACTGACATTTGTTTTTACCTTCCCGCCTGAGAGACAGCTCCTCCCGCAGCCCAGTGTGCCCTGTCACCCTGTCGTGGGGCATGGGTTTGGGACATTTGGGGTTGAAGTGAAGATTGCCACCTACTGGTCCACCAGCGTCACTTCTCCCACTGCAGCGACAGCCCTTGTGTCTTTGACAGGGCTGGCAGTGCACAGAGATCGTGGTGCAGCAGTGTCACCCCTTTTGAAGTCTCGGGAGAGTAGATCTGACGTCGTTTTCTGAGCTGTGTGACAGACGGTTGACTGGACGTACACTGGCAGACGACCATCATTAAACAAAGCTCAGGCATTTTTTAGCGCTGGGCACTTTAATGAAGTCTCATTCTGTCCCACTGCAGAGAGGAGAGAAGAGGAGAGATTTTTCAGGGCAGCGCGTTTCTTTGTTAGTTTGTTTTCCAGGGCGATCGGCTGGTGATGTATGTTTCCGCCTCGCTGTGGAAGGAGCAGGCTGAGTGTGTTTAGTTTGCTGGCACGCACAGAAGCGAGGGCATGTGACAGGCTGCAGAAAGGAGAGAGAGAAACATCACTCTTCTTCACAGAGCTGTGGACCGCCAGTCCGGACAGGCCCATAATTAGAGAGCAGCAGAGGTGTGGAGGGAGGAGAGAGAGAAACAGAGGGAGGGGGGTGGAGAGAGAGGGAGGGCAAAGGGGGAAAGGGGAGAGGAGAAAGGAGGGAGAGGTGGAAGGAGAGGAGGGGGGAACGATAGAAGGGAAGGGGCGGGGTGAAGAGTTTGAGTGATAGAGATGGAGAGAGGGAGGGGAAAATGGACAGAAGTAGGCAGAGAGAGGGAGGGAGAGAGAGGCAGAAGAGTTTGGGATAGAATCAGAGGGAGAGGGGGAGGACGGGGAGATCAGGGGGTAAAAGGGGAGAGGGGGCAGGAGAGATGAACAGGGAGGGACAGAAGAATGCTGGAAAGGGGCAGAGGAACAGAGATCCTGGATTCCTGCAGGAAGCCCTCTCCAGGGTCACTGCACTTGTATTCCAGGAGGGAAATTCCTAGTTCTTCCATTCTGCAAACAGGTCATCTGTTTTCCTGGTCCCAGAGAGACTGATGACACTCTCAACCGCAGAATAATCCACCAGCTTTGGAAGGGTCAGGATCAGGCGCTTCTGTGTTGGTGTGTGCTCCATTTTGTGCTCCGTGTTGTACTAATGGAGCCCCATCTAATGGAGATTAATCACAGGGAGAAAAGTAGCCCAGGTCGTCAGCCCAGCACCGGGAGATATTGAACTGTAGAACTATCGACTGAATTACTTCTCTGTGTGAGTGTGAGCGTTCACAGCGCAGGGCCATTAGGAGAGTTGGTCTGGAAATTAATTAGTTGGCTTCATTAGCTGTTTGTTTTTTCCTTCTTTGAAATGAATCCCCTACTCCTTCTTCTGTCTCTCTGTCTCTACCTCTGGCAACCTGCCTCTCTCTCCCTCTGTGCTCTTTCAGGCTAAGACTGACTTTGGTCCTCCGTTTCCTCTCTCCACATGCTCTCTCTCTTTCCCCGGTCTTCCTCCTCTCCCTCCCTCTCTTTCCCTCTCATTCCCTCTCCCTGTTCCTCATTCTCTTCTCCTTCCTCATCCACTTCTCTCTTCCTTCTCATCCTCTTCCTCATCCCCTCTCCCTGTTCTCCAGCATCCTCTCCTTCCTCCTCCTCTTCCTCTCTTCCTCATCCTCCTCTTCCAGCCCTCTCTTCTTCCTCTTCTTCACTCCTCCGTTTTGTTGTACCCCTCTTCTGCCTCTCTCCATCCCCTCTCTCCTTCATTCCTCTCTCCTTCACTCCCCTGTCTCTCCATCACTCTCTCCTTCACTCCTCTCTCCATCCCTCTCTCCTTCACCCCTCTCTCTCCTCTCTCCTCCGTCAGGACTGAGGAAGAGTGGACAGTGTGCAGGAATGGTTAATAAAGGACCG